GAAATAACTAACAGCCTATATATGAATCATACATCAAATTACTGATATGATATATGATTTAATACACATTTGTTATTAACTAATAATTTTAATCTTGCGTGTGTAGCAAAAGGTTGCGTTTTATACAAAGGATGTTAAATTATTTTTGTCTTGTACGCATTAACTTAATTTACACTTTTTTGTATATTTGGAGCGCATGTATTTATTGAAATAATTGTTTCCAGATAACACCCCTATTACTAAAGTACAAGCGAGAGGCCCTTGAAGAAGGACTCCCCCTAGTTCGGCCTCTATGGCTTGGGGCGGGTGGAGAGGCATCTCTACTAGTCAGGGACGAGTTTACTATTGGAGATGAGATTGTCGTAGCTCCCGTGCTATACCCTAATCAGACTACTAGAGAAGGTAAGATACAAATATGTATGATTTTATAATAAATATAAAATATATTTGGAGATGATAGTGAGAAAACATTTTTATAATGGAAACACCTGTGAATAAACTCGCTAAGTAGTTTCAGATACATTATATCAGTAAAGAATCTAATAAATTTAATGTATTATTTTATTTTATTATTTGCTATATTATGAGTATGCGTATAATTCGTAAATTAATTAAAAAGTGGTAGAAATCAATTTCACCTTTTTTCATTTTACGATAAATGTTCCAGTGTACCTCCCAGCGGGGCTATGGCAGGATGGCATCGACGGTTCCTTGCGAAAGGGAAACAGATGGATGCACGAGTATAGGGTACCCATACATAGAGTGGCTTACTTTATAAGGAAACCTGACGATATGAGATTTTAAGAGAGCACATACAAATGGGCAGACTGTAGTGTGCTGTGAAAGAGTGACCTAACCAATGTTAAGAACTTTCAAAGACAAAGAACTGTCTGAGCGACCTTTTAATACAGTTTTTTTAAGTATATCGAAAGCGATCTCTTGGTATAGTTTAGTTGAGTTGAGTAACAAATTTCTTGCCATTAACGACTGTAGTTTTGAACCTTATTAAACCATGGAAATATAATGATATCCTTTACTGATGTATTGGGTCATCCTAATAGTTGTTATGCATGATCGTTTGCGATCAAATATTAGTTTAAATGCATATTCAGAAACGCAGTTTTTAATAAAAACATTGTACACTTATAATCAAAAAAAAGAGATGTATATGAAATAATTCCAACGTTACATATTTTGTTATTGAGGTAAATTTCTTACCATGATAATCGATACAACGGTTAACCTATATTGTAAACAGTTTTTCTAGTACCAATGAACAAGTTTTAGATTTAGAAGAGTGTAAGATTCTATAAAAATGTTGTTTTTAAAAAATTTTATCACTATTTATAAAGTTAAGTAAAAATCGTGTTCATTTAATACGTAATAACCCTTATATTTTAAGTATATTAAGGTATCTATTATGCACATTACAGTACATAAGCAGGTAAATAGGTTTGCTACAGTACTAATTTATATAGCATTTAAAGCTTAATATAATGGCGTTGTTTTAGTTTTAACATAAGCTAAATAAGATTTTGACATAATTTTCTGTGCATTCTTATCTTCATATCTTCGTAATAACATTTTTAACTGAACTATTCCTCTCTGTCAAATTATGTTTATGCTTTGAGGGAAAGAGACGGAATATGTAATTAGTTTCTGGTTATTTGTCGTTATTAAGTACAATGCTTGTATATTTGAATTGTGTTTCTTCGCTTTTATATGTCTACCTTAAGTATTATTTTGTGCTAACAACATAAAAGTTGTTATGTCAAATAATTTAAATCTAGTCTTCAGCGTTATTGGAAAGTCATTTAGAAATGAAACGGCTGTGCTTATCATAGTTATGAATACCCAAAATATTAAGCACATAACAACTAATAAATTGATTTCAAAAATATACTTATACATATATATGTATGTATAATATAATTCTGTGGCCATAGGTCAGAATATGATATATGCAATTTAATTACTTTACAGGACAAGCAATTAAATTATTAAAAAATCTTGAATGCTCTATTAAAATATGAAACACTCGATATATGAATGATTGTACTTATCATTGTCTGATCTATGAACAGTTCTAGTTATTGAGGTAGATAGTATTTTTAACCAACTCCTTGGTTGAATACCAAAATAAGTTTTATTTAAACCATAACAAGTTATTACAAAGTCTCAACATACCCGTTTTTAATGCAAATTAAATTTTCAACCAAAATAACATACTCAAATACCTACTCTATAATCCTTCAACTTGATGTTGAATATGTCCATCTCGTTGACTCTTGTCGAACGAATCGATTTAGGAGTTATATCAATAAAATTGTGTATTTTTTATTTTCACTGTATTTATTAGTATTCAAAATGAAGAGTAAGTATTAAAAACAATCTAAGATTGAGTATAATTAATCCTTGAAAGATAATAACTCCGTAAAGTTAAATAAAAAATAGTTTGTCGTTATTAAGACGAAAATTATAGTTAAAATAATGTATGGAATAAAATTATTCAAAATGTTAATTGATATATTTTATTGTAGTTGTTGTGTGGTTGTATTTTATTAAGATGAGCTTGATGATAATTTTTGTCTAGTATTTATATTTAATTAATACCCCGTGCCAATTTATTTGTATTTTAAATATATGACTTGCTTTGTTATTTTGTATTTTATTTACTTTACACGTACACATACTACATTACGGTGTCAAAAAAACAAAACCATATCACCAATTGTTTTCAGTATATGTTCTAATATGTATTTTGGTGGATATTGATACGTCCAAATGAATTTAAAAGTAAAACCCGGTACTAATGATTATATCTACACATGAATGTAAATGCATCGTTAGGAAATCTTTAGACCCAACACGACTAAAAATCGACGGGGTGTATCAATGGTCATCTGCCAATAAGTAGCAAGGTAATACAAAAGCATACATATACAGAAAGCCAACCACGAGGCCTAAGAGAGTCACCGATTTTTTTTTGTTCTCAAAACACACTTCTTCATTATCATTTAGAGAAAATTTACGTGCACCTTTTAGTGAAGGTGCGCTATAATGTTGCTAGTAAACTTCTTATAGTTAATAAAAAATCCATTATGTTTGAGCTCTATGTTTCGTAGTGTGCCATTATTCTTAGATTACATTGCCTGTAGGAAATTTTGGTCTCAGTTACTAAACGCACCATCGTCACCTATCGTGTATTACGTCAGACAAAATTAACACAATATGTGTTTAGAATAATTTACCTATTGATAGTAATAAAATTAGAAATTATTGTTATTGGTTGAATTTGTTTTTTTCCTATTTTCTCCCTATAACGAAAATAAATGCTCGGTCACTTGAAATTCGTTATAAAGACTTTTTAGTTTAAAGACACTGTAGTTTGACCCAAAGTAACTTTGTTACAGAAATTCCCTAAAATAGATGTAGCAATATTTTAAAAATAAGTATTACCTCAGAATTGTGACTTAGAGTCTTAAGTATATTGCGTATTCATTTTTATTTTTTTACGGCACAGAAGTACAGTTTTTTCTAATAATTTTTTGTTTGAAATAAATTTTCTATTTCTATATTAAGATATTGCCACAATTAGTTGCCCTGGAAATTGCTTTCGAAGTAGACTTAATGTAGAATCTTACGTCTAATGGAAATAAATAAAAAAACAATTATTTTTTATATTTTATTTACTTTAATCTCTTATACATCACCAAACACGCTGAATGGGGAATAGCGACGTGACTGATACAATGAATCTTTTTTTATCATTTTAATTTACATAATACAATAATAGTTACAGATAACTAACATCCACATAGGGACTAATTTCATTATTTAAATTATTAAACATAGCAAAAATTAAAACAACTTCATATCAAATATCACTTAAGCAGCCATTCTTACCATTAAGCGTGTCAGCCAAATGACGAACATTGGTGCGTATAGAAATCAATGCTTTATCCTGAGTTTCACATTTTCATTTAATGCTTCGCTGAAAATAGTATTGTATCTGTACGCACCAAATTCGCCATCTTAACGGCCAATAACCTAGCACAATCGGTTGTTAGCACCACATCTCCCACTCTATCGAACAATATCTACATCCCGGTTTTAACCTATCTACACAATGGTCTTCTCACAAATCTTTTATACATAAAACACGAAGCAATAGGAACAAAATCTTTTTTTTAATTAAAAACACCCTTTCGGATATCTGAACATTAATTCAACATTATAATTAACTTTGATATAGATATAATAAATTTTGTAACAGCAGACAAAACTAACACACGCGTTTGAAAAATGCAACATTTAATAATTTTAATAATGACTTTATTCAGAGCTATTGATGTTTTCTAAGCTGATACAATTCTTAATTAACAACATTTTAATATTCCTAATAATATGCATTAATTAGACTTCTAGCTATAAATACAATAGTAAATCTCGGGTCCGGCTAAAAAGCCAACTGAAATTATGGGACTTCCGAGAGGAAAAGGCTAAAACTAGCACTCATAAAGCTTGTCTTCAACTACTTCCGATACATCATCTCCACATATGAAAGCAATAAAAAGCCTTCAGCCAGAAGTGAGATCGATTTGGAACATTTATATCTAGTAAAAAAAATGCTAGGGGTATTGTGATCTTATAAAACTGTTGTTGGATGATGTATCGCTAGCAGCCGATGACCGGATATTCCATCTCACGCAAGTTAGTCACCCCCTGTACCGGTCCATGTTATAAGCAAAATACTATCACTCACACAAGTCAACACGCAATATATTATACGAGAAAAATAATTATAAATAAACTGTTATTCGTACATAAAAATATATAGTATTTATAGAATTAATAGTAGTTTTGTCCTTACAAACGTTCGCTTTTAAACATAAATATATTGTGCTGGTGCGTGTAATATACAGAAAGTTCTCTATAGGTAGGTTTGGCAAAGAAAGCAATAGTAGTTTCATAAGATTAGCTTAACGCTATGGATGACTTAAAATAATTGACTTAAAGGTTTATTTTCATTGGCAAAAATGAAATTATGGAGACTTTTTATATTATTATGAGAACAGTCCAAGCTTATGTCCTAGACTAGACGGTATAATGACCATTCGCTCACCATTCGCACTATACACTCAATATAGAGGAATTACGTTGAATACGTTATTACACCAATAATAAATATTTAATAACAAAATTATTTATGTCAAAAATCAATGCAAATAGGAACGTATTATAATACTATGTATCTATATTTTTATATTTGGGACTCGACTAGAAATTTGTTTATTGAATTTAATTTTAACTGTAAAAAAGATTAGAGATTCTAATGTTTTAAGAGTCACCATAACACGAAATAAATTTAATAAACACCAAAACTGTATATCTAATAGATATTAGAGATGGTACATATAAATTAAAAATCAACACAACTCAGCTGTATTTAGTATTTCTAATAAACCTTTTTATATTATGAATTAAGCTCTATCGTCTTAGGCTCGTTAAATGTTTAGAAAGGCAAAAACTGATCTTGAACATTCTAAGGTAAGATTCACCGATGTAAAAACGCATATTACATCACTTAGGTGAATTATTAATGGCTTTTAAATTATAATAACAATATCCTGTATCGGTGAAAACTGTTCTCAGTAGTGGCACGAACTTATCTATTATGAATAAATTTTTAATTACTCGATACTCATTAGAAGTCCCATGCAGGCTTTGGGCGTATCTAATAATATTTCGAGCTATATTCAATTAGTACTATTTTTGTGCATTATACGAATGTAACCTGACGAAATAATTAAAGAAATAATGAGGATATTTTTTTAATTATCTGACAGAGGTTTACTTATTAATAACATTAAACAGATTTTGCCTTCCTAACCAGAAGAAACAATTATATTACTTCTATCAAACAATGGGTGCATAATGCACAGTGTCTTTTGAAGACCTCTATATATTTCACTTAGTCTCTGGTCGTAAAAAATTATGTAGCTCAGGAAAATCTCACAAATGAGTATTGATCGTCGCTATATTTTTATCGAATTTGTTCGTAATCACGTCCGTTTAAAACCGGCGGCTGCGGCCGGGTCGTTTCAAAATCGTATTCTTTTTTAAATCTCACAATGCGATAGCAAAATAATTTTTCAAAAATTTAGATTTTTCGCACAAGCGTTGTTTTGGCTAAACAAAATGGACTGGTTATGCTAAAAATCGTATATAAAAGCACTACTGATTGTATAAGACCAAATACTAAAATTTATCAGAAATATAAGATTTTAAATGGCATGTATTTATGTTGCTACTAGAAAACAGTTTAGAAAAAAATGGACGTTTTTGTTATTAGGTCGAAAATTGATGGATGCGATCGAGGACGTCTCATTAGGATTCGACTCATGTCCGAAATATTAAGCTGGAGTATAGTTTGATGTTCTGAGTATACAATATCTACAATTAATAAAATTTCACAACAGTCTGTCTAAAGTATATCACATATAAGCATCTATTTGTAAACATTCTCATCGGATAAGTGTCCTCGCGCTAAATATTAGTGAATCGAGACTACACGAATTTAACAACGTGTGGCATCGTTTCACTTACAGAAAAGAGGGAAGCTTACTTCTTCGACGAGAAGTCAACAAATAGACCCGACACCTAGAACTCTAGCCTGTAGGCGGCGCAGGAGGTCTCATGGTCTTGTAGGTTGATGGTGCACCGTGAAGCAGAAGGCGAAAGGTCTATTTTATATTTCTCGAGGGCTTCTTCGTTCTCCGCTACCCAATAGCCGAGAACGTCGGTGTCGTAGGTAGGTATGATTGTCACTTCTGTAAAAAAAATCGTATTTCAAATTAATTGAACAATACGAAGAAAATATATTTATTATTTTTCCTACCCGGTGATATAGCAGTATTATTTTTAAGTGCATGGTCGCTCTAAATGACATATCTGCTAAACGAATCACGACTCAGGATCACAAACATTTATTTTTATATTTTTAAAGGTTTAATTTTTATAAGGTATTTAATCATTTTAGAAAAAAACATTTTTCTAAAAAAGAGACATTTGTTTTAATACCAATATAATATTCGATTTTAGTTTTCACTTTTTCGTACATGTACTTATTTCATTAGTATACATTTTAGGTTACTATTATATTATATATAATAAACAGTATTTGACAAGAGGACCTACCTAAATTCTTATCTTCCCACGTTTTCTTGGCATCTAACAGTGCATTGTATATTTCCTTAGAAGGCTCTGTTCCCGAAAACACGTAATAACGAGCCCGAACACGTTTGAAAAATTCCATGGCAGAGTAGTAGGAATTTCCGTGATGTGGAACATAGGTTAAGTCCATGTAAATAGGCGTCGGTGTCTTCTTTTTACTTGGAGATTCTGTCACTCTGGCTTCTTTGTTTTTATCCTGATTCATTTTATTTTTGTTTGCTACAGATGAGCTTGCAGCTTGTTTTTTTGGAGTACTTTTGCCATCCGAAGGTAAAATTGGACTCGGTAATCCGAGTGGTTTACCCCAGGATTCAATTGGATCTTTGGATAACTCGTGAGATTTGGTACTAGACATTTTTGTATTTTCATCACGATGTGAACTTGATTTCTTCGAGTCTGATCTAAATTCCCTGAGCGTTACTGTTGACTCCTGCGATTTAGAAGTTTCTTTACTACCACTAGCCTGACTATCTTGGTCTAATTCATACTTAGCTGTTATACTAGAAATAACTGTCGAACCACTGATTTTTTTGTGCTCTTCAATAGCTTTTTCAAATTGTTCATCAGCTTCTTTTAAAAACCTGGAAACGGATATATCTTCATTTGAATTATCACTATCTGTTTTAATTTTCTCATGTGTCAAGAAGTCACCAGTAATTGTTTTTAAAGAAGGCCCCGTGTCTTCAGAATATTCTCCAAAATCACCGGGAAGTTGACCATATACTGACATAGACATGGGATCGTCTTGATCTTGTTGTTGAAGTGGTAATTCAAAACTAAGGTTTGACTTGGGAGAATGGGCTATTTGAGATTTTGTGCTACTTGGACTAGCCTGTCCATCCTCATCACTGTAATACATGCCACTACTTTCTGTTCCCCATACATGTGTAGCTACTCTTGATTCCCGAGAACTAATGTCTGAAGGTGGAGTAGCCATATCGAGCTGATCTAAATAGTCACTAGTGACAGATGAACTACGCATATCGCCTGCCTTAGATGAATATTTGGAAGGAGATTTATCATAGTCCCCTGTATCAATTATCTCTTCATACTCTTCTTTAAATTCAGATATCGTTGTTTTTGTTGATTTTGTTGTTTTCGTTACACCGTCGCTCCCCTTGCACACAGTTGTTGTTTCTACAGTAACTTTAACTTTCTCAGGACTAATAACTTCTTTTGTAGTCACGACTGTTACTGTTTGATGAATTTCTTTATCATCTTCTTTTATTATTTTATTAAATGTTTCAGTTTCGGTAGTTATTTCACCCACAGGCGATCGTTTCTTTTTAGGTTCTATTTCTTGGTGTTTTTGTTCAACTGGCATAATATTTAATTCATTAATAATTGGTTTAACAACCTTTGGGCTTTCTTTGTCTTGGATGGTAATGTTGACCTCACCTTCTTCTGGCGTAAGATCTTCGAAAAGCATCCCTGCTGGTAAATAAGCAATTTGCGTACGAACATCTTTGGTAGTCTCGATTGATCCATCTTCCTTTATATTCTCTGTTACAGTTTGTGTAACTGTTCTAACGGCCACCTCATTTGTAGTTTTGTTATTAAGTTCTTCTTTAGTAATGTGAGTTGTGATGTTCTGAGTAATTTTTGATAAATTGTCAGTTATAATATTCGTTTTTTTGTCAACGAAATTTCTTACTTTTCCCGTGACTATAAAACCATCTAATGCAGCCTGTAAATCATTATCATTAGCCTTCTGAAATTCTGAAATTGTTATTTTAACATCTTTTGTTGTTTCAACGGATCCATCTGGGTACTCATCTTCTGTAATTGTTTCAACAGTTGTTCTTAATCGCCGTATATTTTTATCTTTGGAACCCAACGTTTCTCGCTTAGTTTTAGTAGTTATGGTACGGTTAATTTTTGCAGAGTCTTTAAGAACTATTTCTTTTTTTACATCTGATTCTTCAGTCGTAGCCTCGACAGTTTCTAAATCACCTTTAGGATCTACACGATCTGCTTCATCTGTTGTCAGATTTTCAGATGAAATATCGGTTATAGATATTCTTTCACTTTTTTTTGTTAAAACAGTGCCATCAGGATAAGCATCTTCTGTAATAGTTACAACTACTGTTTTAAGTCGTCTATTCAAACTTGTGGTATTTTCAAACGTTTGTTTGGTAGTAGTTATAGTAATTCTTCTTGTAATTTCGGTTCCGTTGTCAACAACGCGCTCTGACACTGATTCTGTCTTTATATCTGGCTCTCCAATTATAAAATAACCATGTAAATCTTCTTCAGAAATGCTATTTCCATATTCAGCTATTGAAACTTTAACATCTTTTACAACTTCAGTACTTCCATTGGGTAACTCAGTTTCAGTGATTGTTTCCACTGTTGTTTTTATTTTCTTTCTAGTGTCATCTTCAGATGACATGAGTTCTTTTGTCGTAGTAGTTTTAATGATTTGTCGTAGTGATTTTCCATCACGCAAAACAAACCCTTCTTTTGTGTCGGTATGAATATCTTTACCCATGTTTTCCAGTTGCTCTAAGTCCTCAACTGATTGTTTGGTTAAAAGTAAATCGGAGTTTTGCGATGATTTTACATATGATTTTTTTAATAAATCTTCTTTTGATTGCAACTTTGTATTTATATCACTGACAAATTTTACTTCATACGGTTCGTCAAAAACTGATACTTTTTCACTAGTTTTAGAAATAATTGAGCCATCTGGATACTCGTCTTCAGTAATCTCTTTTATAGTAGTTTTTGTTTTTTTGAGACTTTCAACTTCATCCACAAATTCCTCATAAGTTTTAGTTGTAGTTACTTGACGTTTTATTAATACTCCATTCATTTCAATATTTTCACGAGTTGTAGTAGTTTCTTCTTTAGGTTGGCATAGCAACGTAAAACCCTCGAAGTGTTGTTTATCAGCCTCTGTTAGATAATCCGATATTGAAATGCTAATGTCTTTAGTAACTTCTATGAATCCATTGGGTAAAGTAGATTCTGTCACAGTTTCAATAGTTCTCTTTAATTTCCTCTGGCTTTTGTCAAGTTTAGATAATACCTCATCGGTTGTTGTGGTAGTTACAAGCTGTTTTATATTTTCACCGCTAACCACACAAGTTTTCTCCTGTTTTTCCACATTTACTTGTCTATCTTCTAAACATGTAAAATCTTTAAGATCGTGACTATTATCAACTTCAGGTATACATAAATCTGTTAAAGATATGCTTGTATTAACCTTCGTGTTTGATGAACCATCAGGATATTGATCAGTGGTGGTCACTATTGTAATTGTTTTTAACTTTTTAAGATTGTTATATAGATCCGCATATTTTGTTTTGATAGTTTTTATGGACGTAATGCGTTTAATTAAAACATTTTCATCCTGAATTTCTTCAGCGGACGTGGTAATGCTTTCTTCCGGAGTTTCAAAAACTTTTAAATTACTCAAAATATTATCAATATTACTTGTTACATCTGTCATAATTTCTTCTGTTTTAACTTCGACCATTTTCTGTTCATCTTTAGACCCATCCGGTTTTTCTTTTGTAACATTAGTTTCAACTGTTGTTTTCGAAACTTTTTTATTATCTTCAGCTTCGATTGTTTCTTTTTTTGTTACCCTCGTAACAGTTTCTATTATATCAATCCCATTATCCTGTATAACTCGTTTACTGACATCAGTATTAATTGTTATTTCGTCACTATCATCATTTGAAATTTTAGCAGGTGCACTTAATTTAACAGGTAAATTTACTAAATTATCATCATCGAAAACATGACTTTTTTTGATATGGCCGTTAGCTACCACTTTATTGTCATTTATGGCATCAACATCCATATGTGATGTAGATTTTAGAGTTGAAGAACATTCAGATAACACTGTTTGGGTATCTTTGGTTGTTGTTGTTGACCCATCAGAACTTTTACATAATGTTGTAGTTTCAATTGTCGTTTTAACATTTTGTGGAGTTCCATCTTCTTTTGAAATAACTTCCTTTGTTGTTACTGTAGTGATCGTTTGGGTTACCACATTTTCACCTTCTTTAATAACCTTAGTTACAGTGTCGGTCTCCGTTTTAATTTTTCCTACAGTTTCAGTTAAAGCCTGTAAATCTAAGCTTTCGGTTGTATCAGAACTTTTAGCACTTTTCGGAACCTTTTCAGTTGAAGTAGATATTCTTTGGGTAAGTACATCTTCACCCACGTGAACTGTTTTTGTAATAGTTTCGTCACTTCCATCTGATCTATCATAAGAAATTTCGCTTTGGACACCTTCACTAACTTTGACGTCGTGAAAAGCTCCTAAAGTTTTAGGCAACGGACTAACAGGAACAGTAGGTGGTGTTGAAACTCTGTCGAAAGAATGAACAGCCAGTGATTCAGTGCTTTCTGTTTTAATACCTTGCTGTATACTTTCGTCGCCAAATGCTTTTTGAATGGATTCAATTAGTTGCGCTGATTTATCTAAAGCAGGTAATTTAGTTATAAAATCTTTCGAAAAGTCTCGTTCCTTTATACCTTCAGAATATAATTTATCTTCAGCCGTCCCTTTATCCATACTTCCAACTGTCTTTTCTTTCTCTGTACTTTCAAAACTATATTTTTCTTCCAAGCTTATTTCTTTAGATACATCTTCAGAACTGCTGAATGATTTTGATTGTTCAGTAAAAAGACTTGAGGATGAATTAATGGTTCTTATATTATTATCTAATAAATCACCATTACTTTGGCCATTGTGATAATTATCTTTCATACTTAACATTCTATCTACTACATTGAAGGAAGACGTTGCAAATAATTCATTAGAATCATATCTATATTTCTCTAACTCCTCTTTTATTGAATAGGTTTCTTTAATATGAGTATTTTTAGAACTACTACTTGATACTTTGTCCTGGATAGGGCTAGCCGACTTTTCTGGAATTTCATTAGGCGAGCCAACATCCTTTTTGATGACATCTTCCTTAGTCTCTGGATCTTCTTTGGTCAAAGAAATATCTTTATCAAGACTTGATTCCTTTTCTGATACAGGACTCTTCTCTTTCTCTAAGACAGTGGTAGACGATTTTTCTGGAATTTCTTTAAGCGGACTAACATCCTTTTTGATGACATCTTCCTTGGTCAAAGAAACATCTTTTATAGAGCTTGGTTCCTTCTCTAAGGCAGGACTTGGTGCTTTATCTTGGATAAGGCTAGAAGCCTTTTCTATAATTTCCTTTAGCGGATTTTCATCCTTTTCGATGACATCTTTCTTGGTCAAAGAAATATCTTTAACAGGGCTTGGTTCTTTTTCGGTTACAGTACTTGCTACTTTGTCCTGGATAGGGCTAGAAGCCTTTTCTGGAATTTCTCTTGGCGGACTAACATCCTTTTTGATGACATCTTCCTTGGTCAAAGAAACATCTTTTACAGGACTTGGTTCCTTCTCTAAAGCAGCACTGGCTTCTATGTCCTGGATAGGGCTAGCTGACTTTTCTGAAATTTCTTTAGTTGTGCTAACATCCTTTATGATGACATCTTCCTTGATCAAAGAAACATCTTTTACAGTACTTGGTTCCTTCTCTAAAGCAGGACTTGGTGCTTTGTCTTGGATTATGCTAGAAGCCTTTTCTAGAATTTCCTTTAGCGGACTTTCATCCTTTTCGATGACATCTTTCTTGGTCAAAGAAATATCTTTAACAGGGCTTGGTTCTTTTTCGGTTACAGTACTTGCTACTTTGTCGTGGATAGGGCTAGAAGCCTTTTCTGGAATGGCTTTCGATGGACTGACATCAATTTCTATGACATATTTCTTGGTCAAAGAAATATCTTTATCAGAACTTGGTTCCTTTTCTGACACAGGACTCTTCTCTTTGTCTTTGAGAGTGGTAGCCGATTTTTCTGGAATTTCTTTAGTTGGGCTATCATCCTTTTCGGTGACATATTCCTTGGTCAAAGAAATATCTTTAGCAGGACTTGGTTCCTTTTCTGATACAGGACTCTTCTCTTTCTCTTTGATAGTGGAAGACGATTTTTCTGGAATTACTTTGGGCGGGCTGACATCCTTTTCGATGACATCTTCCTTGGTAACAGAAATATCTTTATCACAACTTGGTTCTTTTTCTGATACAGGACTTCGTACTATGTCTATGATAGGGCTAGTGACCTTTTCTGCAATTTCTTTAGATGGGCTTACATCCTTATCTATGACATCTTCCTTAGTTAAAGAAAGATCTTTAACCGGGCTTGGTTCCTTTTCTAATGCAGGACTTGGTACTTTGTCTTGGATAGGGCTAGAAGCCTTTTCTGGAATTCCTTTAGATGGGCTTACATCCTTTTTGATGACAATATCTTCCTTGGCCAAAGAAATATCTTTTACAGGGCTTGCTTCCTTTTCTAATGCAGTACTTGCTTCTTTGTCTTGAATAGGGCTAGCGGCCTTTTCTGAAATTTCTTTAGATGGACTGACATCATTTTTGATGATATCTTCCTTGGCCAAAGAAATATCTTTTACAGGGCTTGGTTCCTTCTCTAAAGCAGGACTTGGTACCTTGTCCTGTGTAGGGCTCGGGGCCTTTTCTGGAATGACTTTAGATGGACTGACATCCTTTTTGATGATATCTTCCTTGGCCAAAGAAATATCTTTTACAGGGCTTGCTTCCTTTTCTAATGCAGGACTTGCTTCTTTGTCTTGAGTAGGGCTAGCGGCCTTTTCTGCAATTTCTTTAGATGGGCTTACATCCTTTTTGATGACTTCTTCCTTGGCTAAAGAAATATCTTTTACAGGACTTGCTTCCTTGTCTATTGCAGGACTTGCTTCTTTGTCTTGAATAGGGCTAGCGGCGTGTTCTGGAATTTCCTTTAGCGGACTTTCATCCTTTTCGGTGATATCTTCCTTGGTCAAAGAAACATCTTTTACAGGGCTTGCTACCTTTTCTAACGCAGGACTTGGTACTTTGTCTTGGATAGGGCTAGAAGCCTTTTCTGGAATGGCTGTAGATGGAATGACATCCTTTTCGATGAAATCTTTCTTGGTCAAAGAAATATCTTTTACTGGGCTTTGTTCTTTTTCTGATGCAGGACTTGGTACTTTGTCCTCGATAGGGCTAGCCGTCTTTTCCAGAATTTCTTTAGATGGGCTTACATCCTTTTTGATGACATCTTCTTTGGTCAAAGAAATTTCTTTTACTGGGCTTTGTTCTTTTTCTGATGCAGGACGTGGTACTTTGTCCTCGATAGGGCTAGAAGCCTTTTCTGGAATGGCTTTAGATGGACTGACATCAATTTCTATGACATATTTCTTGGTCAAAGAAATATCTTTATCAGAACTTGGTTCCTTTTCTGACACAGGATTCTTCTCTTTGTCTTTGACAGTGGTAGCCGATTTTTCTGGAATTTCTTTAGTTGGGCTTTCATCCTTTTCGGTGACATATTCCTTGGTCAAAGAAATATCTTTAGCAGGACTTGGTTCCTTTTCTGATACAGGACTCTTCTCTTTCTCTTTGATAGTGGAAGACGATTTTTCTGGAATTACTTTGGGCGGGCTGACATCCTTTTCGATGACATCTTCCTTGGTAACAGAAATATCCTTATCACAACTTGGTTCCTTTTCTGATACAGGACTTCGTACTGTGTCTATGATAGGGCTAGTGACCTTTTCTGCAATTTCTTTAGATGGGCTTAAATCCTTATCTATGACATCTTCCTTAGTGAAAGAAAGATCTTTAACAGGGCTTGGTTCCTCTTCTAAAGCAGGACTTGGTACTTTGTCTTGGATAGGGCTAGAAGCGTTTTCTGGAATTCCTTTAGATGGGATTACATCCTTTTTGATGACAATATCTTCCTTGGTCAAAGAAAGATCTTTAACAGGGCTTGGTTCCTTTTCTAATGCAGGACTTGGTACTTTGTCTTGGATAGGGCTAGAAGCCTTTTCTGGAATTCCTTTAGATGGGCTTACATCCTTATCGATGACATCTTCCTTGGTTAAAGAAACATCTTTTACAGGGCTTGGTTCCTTTTCTAAAGTAGGACTTGGTACCTTGTCCTGGATAGGGCTAACCGACTTTTCTGGAATTTCTCTAGGTGGGCCTAGATCCTTTTTGATGACATCTTTCTTGGTCAAAGAAACGTCTCTTACTGGGCTTTGTTCTTTATCTGATGCAGGACTTGGTACTTTGTCTTGAATAGGGCTAGAAGCCTTTTCTGGAATTGCTTTAGATGGGCTGACATCCTTTTCGATGACATTTTCTTTTGTCAAAGAAACATCTTTAACAAGGATTGCTTCCTTTACTAATGCAGGACTTGGTTCCTTGTCTTGAATTGGGCTAGCGGCCTTTTGTTGAATTTCTTTAGATGGGCTTACATCCTTATCGATGACATCTTCCTTGGTTAAAGAAACATCTTTTACAGGGCTTGCTTCCTTTTCTAACGCAGGACTTGGTACTTTGTCTTGAATAGGGCTAGCGGCCTTTTCTGGAATTTCTTTAGATGGGCTTACATCCTTATCGATGACATCTTCCTTGGTAAAAGATACATCTTTTACAGAGCTTGGTTCCTTTTCTAATGCAGGACTTGGTACCTTGTCATCAATAGGGCTAAAAGCCTTTTCTGGAAATGCTTTAGATGGGCTGACTTCCTTTTCGATGACATCTTTTTTGGTCAAAGTAACATCTTTTACAGGGCTTGCTTCCTTTTCTAATGCAGGACTTGGTGCCTTGTCTTGGATAGGGCTAGAAGCCTTTTCTGCAATTTCTTTAGATGGGCTAACATCCTTATCGATGACATCTTCCTTGGTAAAAGATACATCTTTTACAGGGCTTGGTTCCTTTTCTAATGCAGGACTTGGTACCTTGTCATGAATAGGGCTAGAAGCCTTTTCTAGAATTGCTTTAGATCGGCTGACTTTCTTTTCGATGACATCTTTTTTGGTCAAAGTACCATCTTTTACAGGGCTTGCTTCCTTTTCTAATGCAGGACTTGGTGCCTTGTCTTGGATAGGGCTAGAAGCCTTTTCTGGAATTGTTTTAGATGGGCAGACATTCTTTTCGATGACATCTTCTTTGGTCAAAGAAACATCTTTTACAGGGCTTGCTTCCTTTTCTAATACAGCACTTGGTAACTTGTCTTGAATAGGGCTAGAAGCCTTTTCTGGAATTGCTTTAGATGGGCTGATATCCTTTTCGATGACATCTTCTTTGGTCAAAGTAACATCTTTTACAAGGATTGCTTCCTTTACTAATGCAGGACTTGGTTCCTTGTCTTGAATTGGGCTAGCGGCCTTTTGTTGAATTTCTTTAGATGGGCTTACATCCTTATCGATGACATCTTCCTTGGTTAAAGAAATATCTTTTACAGGGCTTGCTTCCTTTTCTAAAGCAGGACTTGGTGCTTTGTCTTGGATTATGCTAGAAGCCTTTTCTGGAATTTCCTTTAGATGGGCTTACATCCTCATCGATGACATCTTCTCTTGGTCAAAGAAATATCTTTTACAGGGCTTGGTTCTTTTTCGGTTACAGTACTTGCTACTTTGTCGTGGATAGGGCTAGGGGCCTTTTCTGTTATTTCTCTGGGCGGGCTTTCATCCTTTTTGATGATATCTTCCTTGGTCAAAGAAATATATTTTTCAGGGCTTGGTTCCTTTTCTAAAGCAGGACTTGGTACTTTGTCCTGGATAGGGCTAGCGGCCTTTTTCTGGAATTTCTTTAGACGGGCTATCATCCTTTTGATGACATCTTCCTTGGCCAAAGAAATATCTTTTACAGGACTTGCTTCCTTCTCTAATTCAGGACTTGGTACTTTGTCCTGGATAGGGCTAGCGGCCTTTTCTGGAATTGCTTTTGATGGGCTTACATCCTTTTCGATGACATCTTCCTTGGCAAAAGTAACATCTTTTACAGGGCTTGCATCCTTTTCTAATGCAGGACTTGGTACCTTGTCCTGGATAGGGCTAGCCGACTTATTTTTGGAATTTCTCTAGGCAGGCTTACATCCTTTTTGATGACATCTTCCTTGGTCATAGAAATATCTATTACAGGACTTGCTTCCTTCTCTAATTCAGGACTTGGTACATTGTCCTGTGTAGGGCTAGGGGCCTTTTCTGTTATTTCTCTGGGCGGGCTTTCATCCTTTTTGATGATATCTTCCTTGGTCAAAGAAATATCTTTTTCAGGGCTTGGTTCCTTTTCTAAAGCAGGACTTGGTACTTTGTCCTGGATAGGGCTAGCGGCCTTTTCTGGAATTGCTTTAGATGGGCTCACATCCTTTTCGATGACATCTTCAGTGGTTAAAGTAACATCTTTTACAGGGCTTGCATCCTTTTCTAATGCAGGACTTGGTACTTTGTCCTGGATAGGGCTAGCCGACTTTTCTGGAATTTCTCTTGGCGGGCTTACATCCTTTTTGATGACATCTTCCTTGGCCAAAGAAATATCTTTTACAGGACTTGCTTCCTTCTCTAATTCAGGACTTGGTTCCTTGTCCTGGATAGGGCTAGCCGATTTTTCTGGAATTTCTCTAGGCGGGCTTACATCCTTTTTGATGACATCTTCCTTGGTCATAGAAATATCTATTACAGGGCTTGGCTCTTCTCCAATTCAGGACTTGGTACCTTGTCCTGTGTAGGGGGGGGGAAGGGGGCCTTTTCTGTTATTTCTCTAGGCGGGCTTACATCCTTTTGATGACATCTTCCTTGGTCAAAGAAATATCTTTTACAGGTCTTGCTTCCTTTTCCAATTCAGGACTTGGTACCTTGTCCTGTTGGGGGGGGCCGTTTTTTTGGAATTTCCCCCGGGGGGCTTCCCTCTTTTTTTGGGATCTCCCCTTTTTGTAGAAAAATCTTTTACAGGACTTGCTTCCTTCTCTAATTCAGGACTTGGTAACTTGTCCTAGGGGGCCTAGGGGCCTTTTCTGTTATTTCTCTAGGCGGCTTTCATCCTTTTTGATGACATCTTCCTTGGTCAAAGAAACATCTTTTACAGGGCTTGCTTCCTTTTCTAATGCAGGACTTGGTACTTTGTCCTGGATAGGGCTAGCGGCCTTTTCTGGAATTGCTTTAGATGGGCTCACATCCTTTTCGATGACATCTTCAGTGGTTAAAGTAACATCTTTTACAGGGCTTGCATCCTTTTCTAATTAGGACTTGGTACCTTTCGTCCTGGATAGGGCTAGCCGACTTTGGTGCTGGAATTTCTCTTGGCGGGCTTACATCCTTTTTGATGACATCTTCCTTGGTCAAAGTAACATCTTTTAACAGGGCTTGCATCCTTTTCTAATGCAGGACTTGGTACTTTGTCCTGGATAGGGCTAGCCGACTTTTCTGGAATTTCTCTTGGCGGGCTTACATCCTTTTTGATGACATCTTCCTTGGTCAAAGTAACATCTTTTACAGGGCTTGCATCCTTTTCTAATGCAGGACTTGGTTCCTTGTCCTGGATAGGGCTAGCCGACTTTTCTGGAATTTCTCTAGGTGGGCTTACATCCTTTTTAATGACATCTTCCTTGGTCATAGAAATATCTATAACAGGACTTGCTTCCTTTTCTAATTCAGGACTTGGTACCTTGTCCTGTGTAGGGCTAGGGGCCTTTTCTGTTATTTCTCTGGGCGGGCTTACATCCTTTTCGATGACATCTTCTGTGGTTAAAGAAACATCTTTTACAGGGCTTGCATCCTTTTCTAATGCAGGACTTGGTACTTTGTCCTGGATAGGGCTAGCCGACTTATTTGGAATTTCTCTAGGCAGGCTTACATCCTTTTTGATGACATCTTCCTTGGTCATAGAAATATCTATTACAGGACTTGCTTCCTTCTCTAATTCAGGACTTGGTACATTGTCCTGTGTAGGGCTAGGGGCCTTTTCTGTTATTTCTCTGGGGGGTTTCATCCTTTTGATGATATCTTCCTTGGTCAAAGAAATATATTTTTCAGGGCTTGGTTCCTTTTCTAAAGCAGGACTTGGTACTTTGTCCTGGATAGGGCTAGCGGCCTTTTCTGGAATTGCTTTAGATGGGCTCACATCCTTTTCGATGACATCTTCAGTGGTTAAAGTAACATCTTTTACAGGGCTTGCATCCTTTTCTAATGCAGGACTTGGTACTTTGTCCTGGATAGGGCTAGCCGACTTTTCTGGAATTTCTCTTGGCGGGCTTACATCCTTTTTGATGACATCTTCCTTGGCCAAAGAAATATCTTTTACAGGACTTGCTTCCTTCTCTAATTCAGGACTTGGTTCCTTGTCCTGGATAGGGCTAGCCGATTTTTCTGGAATTTCTCTAGGCGGGCTTACATCCTTTTTGATGACATCTTCCTTGGTCATAGAAATATCTATTACAGGTCTTGCTTCCTTCTCCAATTCAGGACTTGGTACCTTGTCCTGTGTAGGGCTAGGGGCCTTTTCTGTTATTTCTCTAGGCAGGCTTACATCATTTTTGATGACATCTTCCTTGGTCAAAGAAATATCTTTTACAGGGCTTGGTTCCTTTTCTAAAGCAGGACTTGGTACTTTGTCCTGGATAGGGCTAGCGGCCTTTTCTGGAATTGCTTTAGATGGGCTTACATCCTTTTCGATGACATCTTCTGTGGTTAAAGAAACATCTTTTACAGGGCTTGCATCCTTTTCTGATGCAGGACGTGGTACTTTGTCCTCGATAGGGCTAGCTGTCTTTTCCGGAATTTCTCTAGACGGGCTATCATCCTTTTTGATAAAATCTTCCTTGGCCAAAGAAATATCTTTTACAGGACTTGCTTCCTTCTCTAATTCAGGACTTGGTTCCTTGTCCTGGATAGGGCTAGCCGATTTTTCTGGAATATCTCTAGGCGGGCTTACATCCTTTTTGATGACATCTTCCTTGGTCATAGAAATATCTATTACAGGGCTTGCTTCCTTCTCCAATTCAGGACTTGGTACCTTGTCCTGTGTAGGGCTAGGGGCCTTTTCTGTTATTTCTCTAGGCGGGCTTACATCCTTTTTGATGACATCTTCCTTGGTCAAAGAAATATCTTTTACAGGTCTTGCTTCCTTTTCTAATGCAGGACTTGGTTCCTTGTCCTGGATAGGGCTAGCCGATTTTTTTGGAATTTCACTAGGCGGGCTTACATCCTTTTTGATGACATCTTCCTTTGTCATAGAAATATCTATTACAGGACTTGCTTCCTTCTCTAATTCAGGACTTGGTAACTTGTCCTGTGTAGGGCTAGGGGCCTTTTCTGTTATTTCTCTGGGGGGGCTTTCATCCTTTTTGATGACATCTTCCTTGGTCAAAGAAACATCTTTTTCAGGGCTTGGTTCCTTTTCTAAAGCAGGACTTGGTACTTTGTCCTGGATAGGGCTAGCGGCCTTTTCTGGAATTGCTTTAGATGGGCTCACATCCTTTTCGATGACATCTTCA